CTTTCCACTTTTTCGATGAGTTTCTTCTTGTAAGCATTGGCTGTTGGTATAGGGATGTTTTTTATATATATATATATTATATATATATATATTATATCATTACTATTTCCACTATTATTAATACAGGTATTATTATTATTACTATTATTATTATTATCAAATTTAATTTATATAACAACTTACTCAGTAAAAAGAGACTTAAATACTATAGATTCTAGTCGTTGAATATGACTGGAGTGAAATGTGTCAGAAATTAGCAGTGCGAAAGCTCGCCTGGGCATTACAGGCAGTTCCAATTCATTAAAAAAAAGCTGGAAAGTTAGAATAATTACGGACGTGATCTTAAGCATACGTTCAACCAATCAAATTAGAAATTCTTTGTGTACACTAAATCAAGATAAGTAGATTGATTCCAATGACAAGTGATGAGGCAGATAGTATTTTAACGACTTGTGGTATATATTTTGACAATCCACATAAGCAATATAAAAAAAATATATATATAGTCATTTCTCAATTTGAACGTATACGATAGGCCTTGTACGAGCTGCATAATGTTTAGTCGGGTTTCAGTCACTTTCTGATACGTTTATTCTAAATATTTTCAAATGTTGTATGGACAGATATGAGATATGCTCATATAAATTTTAAAAATGATAAAGTAAACATTTCATTTCAATACAATAATACTCTTTATAAGTCAGGATTAACACCAGAAATGTAATTAAATTTTAGCAAGAGATTATATAATCCCATGGTCATTTATATTTGAGTTTCTATTATTGTTTAAGAACTTCAGTAGGCCTAGTGATGGCTGTTTGAATTATATAATTACATTACTATTGATATACTATTATTATTAATATAATAATAATAATAATAATAATAATAATAATAATGATAATAATAATAATAATAGTAATAATAATAATAATAACAATAATAATAATAACAATAACAATAATATCCCTCGTTTCACGAAAAGTGTTGGTGTACTAAAGGAGGGGTTCTATACTAATAATAGTAATAAAATTAGTAATGATAGTGATATTAAAAATACAGTAGTGGAAATAATGTTAAAAATAATACTGTAATAGTATATTATTATTATTATTATTATTATTATTACTATTATTATTATTATTTAAATGTGACTTGTGTAATGCAAGTTATGTCGGATACACATACCGACACTTCCACCAACGTATTACCAATATACCAATTGTATGTATATATATGTGTATATATGTATGTATGTATATACATAGGTACATATATATGTATATATAAATATATATACATATATATATATATAATATTTATATAATAATATATATAATAATATATAATTATATATATATAGATATATATATATATAATATTTTGCTAAGAAAAATTCTTAAAAATCTGTTCATTTAATAGACAGACACATTTTTTTCCAAGATTGTAATTTATATATCAAATCGCAATAAAAAAAAATTATCGTATCATAATTACGATAGTTATTATGATAGTTATTTACCATCATCGTATTATGATGATGGTAAATAACAAATACACAATACAATATACTATATAAAGTTACATGATATTAATATGCATCATGCTATACATTTTAAGACGGTATATAATGCCTTGCAGAGAATATAAGTTAGTATTTAGTCAGTAATAGGCCTATTAGTTCTAAAACAAAAATTTAAAGATGCAAAATCTACAAAAGTTCGCCACCCAAAACCACTCGAACGCATCAAGACATCTAGGGACATTGCTTTCTTAGTTTACCATAATATTCCTGTAAATAAAGTAATATAATGTTATTATTACGCTCTATTTCGTATACAGATTAGATTAAAATTGAATATTAACGTTTGAGGTGTCAAAAGAAAATATTGTTTAACGATAAACCGCCGCTACTGAAAGCCACCACGACCACTGGCAAATCCTGTCAGTTGACGCCACCATCAGTAACAGCTGTACGTGTACAGAACATGTTCATAAAGATAATTCAGGATATATCTTCTATGTTTTATTAATCACAATCATTTTTAATCTTACCATTTTGTTTGTTTGTTTTTATTTTGAATCTATATCATGGCATACAAGTGACAGAAATTTTAAAAGAGATACAAGAACACGGCCATTAATAAGCTAAAGTAAATGAACAGATTGGGGACGACCCAAATAATCCTAATGTATGAATTAGTTTCCATTGTGTTCCCATTCTACTTGTATAGTGATTTTTAGAATAGTATTATAAATAATTAATTATTAAATAAGTACCATATACCACATGATCTCAATCTTAACAGAAAACTAAAGCTTAGAATGAATTTAAACAACTTACCTTTACAATTTAGTGGAAAACATTTATATAAAGCATTCACATCATGGTTATTATCTTCATTGGTTGGAGAAATAACAAAATCATATTGCGATTTTCGTCGTTTTGTGAGATGTAAACAGACGTATTGTGCTTGCCCACAAAATAGTTCAGTCATATCCAAGTTGTATGGAACTATACCAATTTTAGCTGTAGTGAAGGGAAGAAGTCTGGTGGCTCTTTGTTTTCTAGTTAGAGCTTGTCGTACAGGCTTGTAGCGGATACCTTTACCATCAGCACTGTCAGTAGCGTAGATGGTTAAATTCCATGAATTTTTACCATTTATACCAATTGGACCACGTGAAAATATGTACACATCAAAAGCCATTTCGTTGTTCGGTTGCCTTGGTGAAACATTTAATGCACCCTTTGCTTCTGCGTCAAAACCCACTTTTACAGCTGTAAAGAATCAAATTCAAGGTTAACTAATGTACAAATGTGGTCCCAGGGTTTGTCCGGTGGGAGGGGGGTGGTGGGTTTCCGACGTCCATAACGGAGGGCCAATGTATCCGAATAAAAAAATGGGCATGGTCGGGCGTCGTTCGAAATCTCTCACCAGTATTTCAAATGGAGCCGAGCCTCGAAAAATATGAAAATGTATTAATGTATTTTAGTCCCCGGGCCACCCCTCTGCGTCACCCCTGTAATGTAGTTAATAAATGGATAATAAACCATAAAAAAAATTGTTTATATAATTTCTTTAGTTAATTTTTATTTGAAACACATATATGTAAATATGTATTATAATTGTTATTGTAAATGCAAGCAAACTGATTATTATTAATAATGATGTTGTAACTAAATCATAGAAATTAACTAATTAATTAATACTTATCTAAATATATTATTATTATACTTATTAATATTATTATTATTATTATTATTATTAATTACTATCATTATTGTTATTATTATTATTATTATTGTTATTCTTATTATTATTTTAGAATAAAATATTAACAAATATGACAGTACTCACAATTGTAACAACTTTTCTTTTTACAATTTACATTCAATGCTGACTCTTCAAATCTATAATCTGGATTAGCATCTTCATTCTTGTCAAATGTGTAGCATATAAACTTGAATTTTCCACAACCGATGCCAGATAAATCAAAACGAAGAAATGGCACAGTGAAACTAAGTTTACTGTTTAAAAATAGTGGCGTTGCCTGTTGTACAGCACTCAAAACCTGAGGTATAAAACTATATTTAGTGCCAGTTCCTTGTATGTTTTTGGCTCCAAAAATAGCGATCCTCCACAGCGAGGTGCCCTTAACATACGTTGATTTTTCTGACATATATGCTATAAATTTAAATGTTGTGTTATCATCTTCACCAATAACTAACTCAGGAGTCTTAATTGACCAGTGTATGCTGGTTATTTGAACCCAGGCTTGTTGTCCATCTCCTGTGATAAAACATATTTAAAAAAAATAGTAAACACTGTACAATTTATAATTGAAATGTCTAATCCATAATATCTTAATTTCCTTTCACTTTTTAACGTACTACGTGCTAGTGTTACCTATTTGATTGAAGTTTTAGTGTTTGCATCGGCTTGTCACAAAGCATGTGCTATACAAAGGCGTTTGAGTCATAGGCAACACAATGGACTTTCGAAAAAAAATCAAGATATGAACACAAAAAAGAAAACTTTTCTTTGAAAACAAAAATCATTAAAAGCGCGCGAAAAAGAATAAACGTATGCCTTAAAGATTAAATAAAGTGAAAAACCCAGATAAAAAAAATTAGGAAATGACAACAGAATTGGTTTTATTGCGCCATGTATCTAGATGAATGTCTTATAAATATGAGGATGTAAAAATTAGGAAATGAGATAATGAAAAAAAAAGCAAATATTGTTCCCTTTTAAGTTTTAGTACGGAAGCTTAAAGTGACCTTCCGAGTTTCCGAGTTTCCAAGATAATTATCTTGGAAACATGGAATAAACACTTATTAAGACGTCTTTCCGAGATAACGTATTTTGGAAAGACGGAAATCCGTCTTTCCGAGATAAATTATCTCGGAAAGACGTCTTAATAAGTACATATTCCATGTTTCCATGATAATTATCTTGGAAACTCGGAAACGCGGAAGGTCACTTTAAGCTTCCGTATTTTAGCCACAATGTTGATAGAATATTAATTGATTATGTTTGTTACTTTATATAGAGTACTACTGTGTTTCGTCACGATACAATGTGAGTTCAACTGGACGTTATTTTCGCCACTGACACACCATTGATCCCAATTTCTAACGTAATTATTTATATGTTGTGTCTTTTACTTTGAAATTTTTAATTGATGATTAAATGTGTGTTCGATAATTAATATAATGTGAGCATGTTTTTAGTAAATTTTGATGGTAAATTATTAGATTTTGAAATGCCTATTCCAGAAAAAATATATGAAGTCCTTTTGGCGTATTGAACGGTAACCAACGTTTAACCTGGCGTTGTGACGGCACGACTGTGGTACACTATAAGAGCGAAAGTGAACTTACCTTCACAATCTAGTGGAAAACATTTATATACAGAATTGCATTGGTTGGAGATATCACGAAATCATATTGCGATTCCTGGCCTTTTGTTAGATGTAAACAGACGTACTGTGCAAGGTCGCAATTTAAATTAGTCATATTCAAGTTGTATGAAACGATACCGATTTTAGATGTTGTAAAAAGGAAAATTTTCTTTGTTGTTACCGCCCTTTATAATCCGGTCTAATTATACATATCATTTACAATTTATCTTAGTCAATGCTATATTGTTTATCCCCTATTGCTAATTTGTAAAGCTTTTTTAATCATACGTGTTATCGCTGAGGAAGAGCACAGGCGTGCTCGAAATATTCGAAATAAAAAAATTATCTTATGTCTATTATGTCAACGTATACGACTCTCCTTTGTGCATTCGTACTCATTTTATATAATCAAGACATAGGTGGAACCTACAAACATTATATA